CCTCCCGTTTTTTTGTTACGAAAGTTATCTTCTCCGCAAATCCAACTACCCATAATTACATCGCGGTGAGTCTCTATGGCACTCCCCAAATTGAAATCGCCTACGCAAAAGCAGGCGGAGACAAGTGGAATCTTCTTCAGACGACATCGACTCAGAATCGTTCATACGAGGATATCATGTACCACAATGGGAAATTCTACTGCATAACAGTTGAAGCCGAAGTCTTCGCTTTTGACCTCAGTGGAGTTTCTCCCACCGTGACGGTGGTCGGCGAGAGCACGTCACTCGGTTTGACACATTTCGACTGTCACATTCCTTGCTCCCGTGTCAGACACATTCACAGCAAATACTTGGCGTGCTCGAGCACCGGGGAGCTGTTCCTGATTTTGAGGCGCACAGTTCTCTCATATGAATCGCTGGGATGGAAGGCTATCATGGTTTGGAGGTACAATCCTCAGCGTCAGCCATGTTGGGAAGCTGTGAAGAACTTGGGGAATAAGTCCTTGTTGATCGGTATCAACAACGCTATATCGATTTCTACCGAGAATTTTCGAGATGCACGACGAGATTGCGTCTACTTTACGGAGGCGCTGATCAGAACCATAGTCGATGGCCGGCCCGAATTCATTCCTAGCATTGTAGTGTCTGATGTGCGACGGGGAAAGTGGGCGCGGGCAAACTCTCAGTTACAACCACTCTTGCTGCCACCCATCTGGTTCACTCCCTCCATGCCGTGAACCAAGAAACGAGTAGTTCTTGCTCTAATTTGACTTACAACTCCTACTACTACATATAGAGATGATAGATACATTACAGGCCACAGTAACTATATCAACTTGTGCTTTGATATTGTGTACAAGAAAATGTTTTGCTTGATTTATGAAGTTGCACATCTGTTTTACAAGTTTGATATGACCATAAAGATGAAAGCAAGTTTTCCTTCAAGAGGACACAGAGAAACATGTAGATGCCTTTTGCTCTTATATGAAATTTTAATTTAGAGTGATCTCTTTATGGCCTTATCAGTCATCATTAGTTGTGGGTATCACTAGAATTAGTGATTATTTGAGATCCTGTACCTGCAGGTGCTACTTGATGAGGTTACTGCAGTGAATTAAATATGAAAGAATTACATCATCTAATTGGAAATAAAGAAAAATAGTTACTTAATACCACACATTGCTGAAAACAGATCTTACTTGGAAAAAGATAGTGACTTGTGAAAAAATCATTGGGCCTCAACAAAATTTTTGAGTGTGAATGATATTATGCAATTTGGTGAAAAAATAAAGGACCCAAAATCTTGCGAACAATGCAGGAGAAGAATTTATCGATAGTTGAAGAGATGTAAATTCTCTCTTCTAACATGTATAAATAGGGCGTATTGTATTCAACTCAATGCATTCTTCTTCTTTGTATTTTATTTCTATCATGGTATCAGAGTCATTCCGGTCTGAGGAAGACTCTACTCTCCCTTCTGTAGCCTGTTCTCGTCAGAGCTAGGCATGTGTTCGGCACCTGACCTCTGACGATTCCCATCACCATGAACACAGTTGTCATATCTTTCTGTCGCTACATCTAATCGCCAAACACCTATGCTGCACTGCAATAGCCCCCTAGGCGTGACCTCTACCTTCGGCGACTGAAGCGATATTGATCCTACTGCAAGTGATCGGTATAGGTGGCATCAGCAGTTTTTTTTTACCCATCTATATATTTTTTACCTATCTAATTGTTACATACTTCCACTTTTTCTACTTTGCTCCTATATATGTCCAACATGTCTTCATCTAACGTTCCAATTACTATTCCCATAGGAAACCATAGTACCTTTTCCTCTACCGGCCTTATTTCTATCAATGATGCCACTCTCATTCCCTTCAAATTATCCAACGGTGGCAACTATGCATCATAGCGTGCTCAATTCTCTAATCTACTATTTGGATCTGTTAGGATTTGTCGATGGCTCTCTTCGTTGTCCGCCGGCGATGCTCAACATCCCAGGCACATCCAGTCCAATACCAAATCCGGACCATAAACTATGGTTACGCCAGGATTGTCTCATCCTTCAAGCAATTCAAGCCTCGGTCGTTGGTTCCCTCGCCCCACTCATTTCTTCATGTGACACTGCTGTCGAAGCTTGGTGCAAGTTGCAAACCACCCTGGCCAATCATTCCCGTACTCACATACTTAGTCTTCTATCCAATCTCATGAAGATAAAATAAGAGGGAAGTACTGTTGTTGATTATCTACACAACATAAAGATTATCATCGATAACTTGGCCTTGATAGGTCATTCCCTCAGTGATGAAGAAGTTACTGTCCATATCCTAAATGGCCTAGGAGACGAGTACAAGGAATTGGCAACAGCAATACGGGCACGTGATTCACCAATATCGTTTGAAGAACTCTATGACAAGTTGACTGACTATGAGATATATCTCACGCATAAAAACAGGTTGCCAAAACCATCCATTACAGCTCAAGTCAGTTAAAAACCTAAGAAGAAGAGCAACCGGTACAATAAGAGCTCCAAACAAACCTCCCCTCCACAACAAAGAGTTGTCTGCCAACTATGTGACAAAGTTGGTCACTTTGTAAAAGTCTGTAGAACTTGATCTAGACTTCCTCCTCCGTCGCATTGGCCTCGTGCAAATCTTACTGCTACTTCGACAACTGGTGATGAAAATTGGATTGTGGACTCTGGCGCATCTCATCACATCATGTCTGATTTACAAAACTTATCCATCCATAATGACTATGGCGAAACTGAAGACAACATCATCGGTGACGATAACAGACTCCCCATTACTCATACTGGTTCCATAGTGCTTAATTCACATAGTACTTCGTTTATGCTAGATGATGTTTTGTGTGCACCCCAAATCAAACGAAACCTCATTTCTGTTTCCCAATTCTACAAATAGAATTATACCTCAATTGAATTCTTTCATAATTCCTTTCTTCTCAAGGATTTAAGCACGGGGACATCCTTGGTCCGAGGCCAGAGTAAAGACAACATTTACGAGTGGCTGTCGGTTCCACAAATCACCCAACCCACTGCCCATTCTTCAATCGCAGCTCCAATTGATGTGTGGCATCGTCGTCTTGGTCATCCCTCAACTCTTATTCAGCAAAAACTGATTTTCCGTTATTCTCTTCCTACGCTTAAATCCAATAACATCATAACTCATTGTGATGCTTGTTTAAGTAATAAAAGTCATAGACTTCCCTTTGGAAAATCCTCCATATCCTGCTCTAAACCCCTTGAAGTTATTTACACTAATGTTTGGGGCCCCGCTCCAATCACTTCCTTTGACAAATTCATATTTTATATTATTTTCGTAGACTATTTCATCAAATACACATGCTTATACCCTCTTCATCATAAATCTGAAGTTTCAACAATCTTTACTAACTTTCGAAGATTGGTCGAGAACTTCTTTCAATCTAAAATTAAGAGTATTTACTCTGATGGTGGCAGCGAATATCAAGCCCTCACATCCTGGCTATCTGCTTGTGGTATATAACACCTCAAGTCACCTCCACACACTCCTCAACTCGTCGGCTCTGCTGAACGCAAACATCGACATATAGTTAAAACTGGTCTCACACTCCTACACCAAGCCTCTATACCACCAACTTTTTAGACTGTAGCATTTCAAGCTGTCGTCTACCTCATTAATCGTATACTCACTCTAATCCTCGAGTACGAGTCACCATTTGAAAAATTATTTCATAAATCCCCGAACCTTCAAAAACTTAAAGTGTTTGGTTGTCTATGTTATCCATGGTTGCTTCCATATGCCTCACATAAGATAACATCAAAATCTAAACCTTATGTTTTCATTGGATACTCCCTTGATCATAATGCCTTTCGATGCTATGAACCCCAATCTCGAAAAGTCTTTACATCCCGTCATGTTATTTTTATAGAGACTACATTTCCATTTCACAACCCTGAGTCTCCTACTGTGCCACCTACTCCATCACATATACATCACTGGAGTACACCATCAATCCTGTCAATCGAGTCTCCCATAATATCATCCAGTCATTCTCCTCAGGATTCACACTCTCTCATTCTCCCGGTGCAACAGCTCTTCACCCCCTCCATTGTGCCTCTCCTTTCTTCACTAGGTTCTCCTACAACTGAAGGCATTCCCTCGGAATCACATTCGCTGCCTTTATCCTCTCTTGAGACCAGCGACACTGAAGTCCCTTAGCCTCTACCGCCCATACCTACAACACACCCTATAGCCCCTAGATATCCAATGACAACATGATCCAAAAGTGGTGTCTTTAAACCACGATAAATCCTTGACCTACATACCATCACAACATCCTCGTCAGAGACCACTGAACCTACCACAATTACTCAAGCCCAAAAATCTCTATACAAGCGTAAAGCCATGTGTGAAGAATATGATGCACTCCTTCATAATTCTACATGGACCCTTGTACCCTCTCATCCCACATAAAACATCATCGGGTGTAAGTGGGTCTTTCGAATTAAGCCAAAGGGTTTCATCAATGACCTGGTGTTGACTTCACATAGACATTCAACCTTATTATTAAACCCACAACAATCCGACTTATTCTAAGTTTGGCCATCTTACAAGGCTGGCATTTACGTCAACTCGACATTAACAATGCCTTTCTACAGGGGACCCTAACTGATGATATCTTCTTGCAGCAACCTCTTGGCTTCATCCACCCTTAATATCCAAAGCATGTTTGTAAACTACAAAAAGCTATTTATGGTCTTCGTCGGGCTCCAAGAGCTTGGTACACCGAACTTAACTCGTTTTTGGCATCAGTTGGCTTCATCAACTCCAAATCACAAGCAACAATCCTATGGAAATCAAGGCATTCCTCAAGCATTTAGCAAATTGATTCTCTCTTAAAGATATAGGACCCTTGAGTTATTTTTTGGGAGTGGAAGCAACATACACATCTTCCGGGCTCTTCCTATCACAACGAAAATATATTCAAGATCTATTATCTAAAATGAATATGCAAGATGCAAAGGCAGTTACAACACCTCTGTCTACTAGCGAGTCGCTCAAACTTTATGACGGAAGCCCTGCTACAGACCCAACTCAATACTATCAAGTCCTTGGCTCCTTACAGTACTTATCTCTCACCCGTCTAGATATCTCATTTGTGGTCAATAAACTATCCCAGTTCATGCATCGACCATATATTATACATTGGTCTGTAGTCAAACGAATCTTGCGGTATCTTCACGGGACTATCAATCATTGTCTCTTTGTCCGTAAACACTCTCCTCTTAATCTCCATGCCTTTGTCGATGCTGATTGGGCAGGGAATTTTGATGATAGAACCTCCACGTCAAGGTATATGATCTTTCTTGGGTCTAATTCAATCAGTTGGAGTTCTAAGAAACAAAAGACAATGGCCTGGTCTACAACTGAAGCTGAATATCGTGCTATTGCTACCGCTATTGCTGAACTCAATTGGGTTACAAATCTCCTCAAGGAATTCAAAGTTAGCTCTACCCAAACTCCTACAATATATTGTGACAATGTTGGAGCAACCTACTTATGTGTCAATCCAGTGTTCCACTCACGCATGAAACACATTGCCATCGACTTTCACTTCGTGCGAGATCAAGTTGTCAGACATCAACTTTGTGTCTCTTATGTTCATACAGCTGATCAACTAGCAGACTCACTCACGAAGCCTCTAGCCCGCAAACTATTTTTTGTTGCATCGGTCCAAGATCATTCTCTCAATTCTTCACAGATACGTTCCACGAAGGCGGTGTGTAAGCAAGGGCAGAGGCTTTGAATGTTAGATGGCTAGCAAGGTAGTTGGGGATCAGAGGTCCTAGGAACGGTGCCTCTAAAGCCTTTTCCCAGTCGTGAATGAGTAACAAATTAATGACTTTATGATTTGTACCCGAATATGTCTTTTACTTTAAAGATATTTTTATAGCATAAATAATTCAAAGCTACTCTGTGATATTATATAGTATAATATATATATATATATATATATATATATATTACATTAAAAATTTATCTCAAGCCTAAATTACCCACACAAAGTGGCATCCTTCGCTTACAACAAAGTCCGCACTGTCATCAGTCGTCTCCGATAAGGAGACCTTGTCCTACTCGGACTCGTTTTCCTAGTGGTGTTCGTCATCGGAACCTTCTCTATATAACTCATCAACGTTGGTCCTCCGCCACCTTCAACAACTCCTCTGCCATTGCGATCGACATCTCTGTCCTTGCTTTGGTTCCTCTTAGCCACCAAAGGCAGCAGATGAAGAGAAGAAGAATACAAGGAGCAGAGGCGGAGACCACCATGGACAGCCCTGACTGGACATCGCTCCCGCTGGATGTCCTCACGAAGATTGTCGAAAAGCTTCCCGTCCCTCACCGTGTCTGCTTTCGTGCCACATGCAAGGATTGGTGTTCAGCACTCCTACCCGTTGTCATCCCGTCCCCGTGGCTCCTCTCAGTCGGCAAGAACAGCGATACCTGCAACTTCTTGTCTCTCCCCACCAGACGCTCCTTCACCTACTCCCTTCTCCCTGAGCTCCACGGCGTGCTGTATGTGGGCTCTCAAGCTGGTTGGCTAGCAGTCTTCAATAAAAACCTGGATGTCAGCCTCATAAATCCTCTAACAGCGGCTCGAATCTGCCTCCCCTCCTTCCTCACCCTACCCAATTTTGAGCTCGTCGGCGGCAGCTGTGTCCTTCCTCATCTCAACCGAA